ATTGTGTGCTATATTTGTACGTGTTAATACGCAGCGAATAGTCTTGCAATTTCCGGGAATCGAATACTAGTACCATTCGATCATGTTTTTCAACCAACCACATTAAAGAACACAGTGTCTTTTGGTTTACATTTGTGCTTTCACGCATAAAATATTAGAAGTTATTTATGTTCTATCTCTGTATCGTGCTCTTTTCACGTAGATTGCTGCAAATGGCTACTTTGGGTTCAAGTGGAGCTCCACCTACAAGTAGTATCCTTTTTCTCACGCACAATCAGCCGCAGTGAAGATAAAGCAGACATGTTAAGCCTTAGAACTTTATAGTCGGTAGATGCGATACAACTGAGGCAGAACCATCTTATTATTTCAGTATATGTTATTATCATAAAATATATTTTAATGGAATATAACCATGAAAATATAAATAAATCTAATTTTCAAAATGTGTGACGTTTTACTGATTCGCTTCAAATCACCTGGTAAGTCCATGATATCATGGTATACTTAACTAGTATAACCCGTCTTATGCTTTCTTCTCTCGCAGTCTGCTTCACTTAACGGCTTTCAGGAGATGATTTAATTCGTCAATACTTTTTTAATGGATTGAGCTATGAAGAGATACGCATAGTTCTAGATGTAAGACACAGTTTCTCCATCGGGTTCGTATTCCTTATGAATGTCAACAAGTTAATAATATAAAGTGTAAGCAGAAATATCTGCATGTAAACATATCATGAATATTAAAAAAGCAACGGTATTCATAAATGTTACATGAATTATTGATGATATATGTTGTGTTACATTCCCTTTGATGTTTTTGTGCACATCTGTAGTACAAACAGTTATGTACAATATTAGGTGAGTGTTTCAATATTGGTATCAACCAAATTGAACTATCACTTTTCCTTGTTCATATTTCATCTACAATAGAGGTATATTTTTATTCGTTGTTTTTACATGTCTTCACATAAATTGCGTTTATGGTATTGTATGTCATGTTGTAAACATTGTTGCATATTGTAAGTAAATGACAGTTATGAAAAATAAGTATCATTCCTCCCAGTATTCGTCAACTGAAGCGACTGTTAAGAAGAATGAATTTACGTCGTCGTGGTGCTTCTAATATCCAAGTGGTCCGGCGAGCAGTACAGGTACATGTACCGCCGAGATTCTATTTATACATTGCATAATTATGTCTTTACATTATGATACTATATCATCTGTTTTCACAATGTGAATGAAACATGGTGTAAAGATCACACGCAGTCGTGTTAACAGTCCTGAAATCAGTAAGACACAGGTAATTGTATCCATGTGAGTTCCGCATTCAAGTTTCTATTTGAAATATTATAAAACTGAACTAATTGAGAAACAATATTTTTTATCAGTGCTGTCACATCAAGTACACCGTTTTACAGTTACTTTTCATCGTTGCAGGAAGAACTAAATGGCAGTGGTGCCTATCTCGGATGTAGGTCAATGCGGTCACGGCTGCAGTCGTCATATGGCCTATCAGTACCAAGGTATGCAGTAAAATGTTAAAACTTGAATTTGGAATACCTTAAGTATTAACATAAATATCAGGTACATCAACTACCCGATATCGATATCGTGTAATAACGATCATGTCCCTTCTACTGATTTTCCCACATGAACTTGCGATAGGTAATGAAACCAGTTAAACTGCCTCATCTGGTTTATACTAATATTTAAATCTATGCAAAACACTTACCACAACACTGCATCACAAGGGGTATTATTGATAATCACCATGAATTTATATTACAAAATCATAGCATAAATGTCTTTATAGGAATAAGTGAATATGGCACTCTCTATGGGGAAGGTTATGAAAAAAATGGATGTTTTATAATAAAATATCATGTGCTTATGCATTGGTCTTTTCGGCGAGGTTTGTGAAGAAACTGTAAAAACACATGAAGAGGGTCAACCGCAAAATTGAATGGCATTTAGACTGGGTCATTATTTTCATTTCATTAGTGCATCAAAAACCTTTCACCTCGATCAACTAGTGCTGTATACTGACTTGATGTTTGGCGAATATATCTTGTGTATGAAATCCTAATGTTACTGTATATTGTATTTGGGGTGTAGGTAGCTTAGTGGTTTAAGCGTTCGCTGATGGTCCGTGTTGAATTCTCCACATGGGTGCAGTGCTGAAGTACTGAAATAATATGTATAAAAAAATATTAAAAGTTTACAAATTAAAGTAATGTCTTAGAAGAGTTTCCTATTCCGAGTGAGTGAGAGAGTGAGTGAGTGAGTTTGGCTTTACGCCGCTTTTAGCAATATTCGAGCAATATCACGGCGAGGTACACATGGGCTTCACACATTGTACACGTGTAGGAATTCGAACTTGGGTCTTCGGCGTGAGTGGAATAATATGGCCGCCACACAAATCGTGAAAATACTGTTTCGCTGGTCGATTTCTTGACCCATTACCAGAAAACTGTAGAAAACAAACTTGCAAACTTGGAATCCAGTTTGGCTACCAGTCAACAAAGTCGGAGAACACCGTAACTGTTTGGGGTATATGAAACTGCTGAACTTGCCAAATATCACGGGACCATTATCAAATTATATCGGTTAAATTGAATAGGTTATATATAGTTATATGCCCGTAGTCACGAGGTATGGACACTTGCGAAAGGCCCCTTAGCCATCCCAACACTCAAGTGCTATGAATGCTTAGCATTACACCACTGCTCCAAGCTAATTTGCGTATCACGTGCCCGCACTTTTAGCTTTTTTAGAACAAAAGCGCTTATGCACGGCCAGGGTATCAAACCCTCTACCGTTCACCCTCCTACATCACGGAGGCGGTAAAGATGTGTTGGTTATATTATACAGGAGGTGGAAATTGTTCATTTATTTAACATAACTTTCTCCCAAACCTTAAATCTTTAAATAAACTTTCAGAGATACAGTCCTCCAGCTTCAGCGTGAGTTAGACCCAGAAGGTGTGGAGATGAGATGTCGCCATCGACTATCAAGGCGTGTCTACACTAACAAAGGACCCAATTATCTCGTCCATATCGACGGCTATGATAAATTAAAACCATTTGGTTTTGCAATTCAAGGGGCCATATGCGGGTAAAGAAACTCCGTTACCTAAATCAATGCTTTCTATTCAAGTCCATACTAGAAGAGTAGATCCATTGGAGATCATTGTCATGTAGTTGTCGTTTTGAGAATACTCCAATAGTCCTTTCCTAAACCGCACGCAAAAGAAACGCATACTTTGGCGGTTAATCTCTCTCTCTCTCTCTCTCTCTGTCTCTCTCTCTCTCTCTCTCTCTTTATGAGCATCAGTAATTGTGCCGAATTATATGGCGACATTCAACGGCTGTCTTTATTTACATTGTCAATGTATATGTTTCCCTTTAAGGTGCATGTCACCAGAACATTAGCAAAGTTTCTTACTTTATGATGTGTTATTGATGAAGTGGAACATTTTCAGGCGTTACAATCCTGTTTCATGTGTCTGTATCAGAGTATCTGTATGTCAAGATGTGATTCGTCATCTGGCTTGTACTCATGTCAAGATCACATAAAGGTCAGATCACATAAATCATTTGTTATAGATAGGTTAGTTACAGTACAACCCGAAATTATTGAGAATTTAAAGATTGTAATTTTTATATTTTTTTCACTCATTACTCACGTATTAAATGTGAATATTAGCAGAACATAACTCCAGATTCAAAGACAGGTGAACAGTTAGTATTTTGTCAAGTCACCATGGGCAGCATTGCAGGCTTGAATGCAGCAGGGCATACTACTGATCAAATAAGTTAGAAAGTCGTGGTCTATGCTGTCCCAATATCGGACCACATCTTCTTTCATTTCAGCAATATTTGTCAGATTTTTCTTATTGACACTTTCCTTCATAAGTCCCCAAACATTTTCTATTGTATTTAGGTCAGGGCTATAGCTTGGTCAATCTAATAATGTCAAATTTTGGGTCCGAAACCAGGCCTGTGAATGCTTTGAACGAAGTTTGGGTCGTTGTCCTGCTGGAAAACCCAAACATTTCCATAGAACACGTGAGCAGATGGAAGTAAATGTCCCTCGAGAATATCTTATCTGTGTACCGCTCACTGTTCATATTCCCTTCAAATGCACAGAGAGGCGTTGCCCCTAACAAGGATATGCCACCCAACACGTTTAATGTGAAACTGAGGGCTTCCTTTTTGCTGCTCAGGACCAGTCACTTCCCACTCGCAATCGCTTAAATGTGATTCTTAAAGAAAATATCAATATCGAATGTCGACTTTGCAATGAATTCACGGAGACTGTCCAACACCTTGTCAGTGGATGCCCTTCCTTGGCACAAACATCATATCTTAAACGACATGATGGCATGGCTCGTTGCTTTTACTACCGTCTCCGACATGCCTGTGGCTTTGACTCCGAGGTCCATCCATGGTACGACCCTGAACATGTCCAGGGCGTCATGGAAAATGATGCTTTCAAATTTCTCTGGAACAGGCCCATATACAGCCTGAGGAGAATTCCAGCCAACAAACCTGATCTTGTCCTTTTTGATAAAGCCAATGAATTTATTTATATCATTGAATTTTCCGTCCCTTTTGACACCAATGTGATTGACAAGATTCTGGAAAAGCATACTAAGTATGCGGACCTCGCCTTTGAAATGTCTCGCTTGCATCCCAAGTACACTGTCGCCAGGCTCTCCATTGTTCTCGGTGCCCTTGGTTCGGTACTTCCTGATCTCTTGGCGCAGATCAGGAGAGTGCCCGGGTTCTCCACCGGGAGTACAGCCCTTCTGACACTCTGGGTAATGCAGAAGGCTGCAGTGTTGGGGAGCCTTTATATTCTCCGGAAAGTTCTTGGTGGGTTCGACTAGCCAGCGTTTCCTGAAGTCCCATCCGCTGTCTGGGCTGCGTGTAGAGGGTGCGAGGGCCCTGATCTGATGATGAGCCTTACCAGCCTGACTGTGACAGGATCACCCGAACCCTCTCTGTTGCATATTATCTTTAATCTGTAAAACATAATAATAATAGGTAACACTATATCTGAGGTATCATGTAGGTGTCCCACGATGTATCAGAATGGACGCTGGGACTGAAAACGGTGTTATAGAGGACATGCAGAAGGCATTCAGATGGTACCACACAGATGAAATGGCAGGGGAAAGTTGTGTCATAATTGCAAGTTCTAATTCAAACCAAGTAAGAAAACCATGTCAAAACAATTTCACAATATTCACCATTTGTGAAACATGAATCAGTTATGCTCAAAACACACTTTTCGTTCATTTGTTCCTCAAACATGCATAAACAAAACCTCCCTGTATTAGTCCACAGAACGTACAAGACAGTGAAGTGCTGGAGCTAAAAACATTATGACTGTTTCACCGAAGATCAATCCAATCATATCCTGCTGTACCAGTGGCTATCCACGTTCACACCACTTCATTAAGAGTGATTGAGTGAGTTTAGTTTTACGCCGCTTTTAGCAATATTTCAGCGATATCACGGCGGGGGACACCAGAAATGGGATTCAAATATTGTACCCACAGCGAGCCTGACCACCCGATCCCGTTAGTCGCCTTTCACGACATGCATAGTCGCCTTTTATAGCAAGGATGGGTTGCTGAAGGGCTATTCTACCCCGGACCTTCACAGAGGATAGAAAGATGGTTGAGATCCATGAGGGAAGGTGGCATTGCTTTCTGGATAGACTTATTCAAAGATTTACAAAACACAAATGCAATAAATTTTTCTGATGAATTTGAAAGGTATGTACAAAGTATGCTAACGTAAATCATACAACATCATGTATTTACTCCAAGAAATCCTTTGATTTTTTTTTAACCCAGTGCGCACGAGTCATTCACTGGATTCCCTATTATTACACTAAGCGTATCTAGTGATATTTAGGTAAATAACAATGTTTTCAAGCTGATTAGTATGACATAGATATGAAGAAGTAAGTATGAATCTAGGGAGTGTTTAGCCACTTCCTTTTGTGTAATCTGTTTATGTTCATGAAGCTGACACACCGTGATATAACTGGAATACTGTTTGGAAACAGGGCCTAAAGTTGAAGGCCATTACCCGAGACCAGTGACGTAGCTACTATTACAAAAATAAGCCCGGGCTTACACATGATAGTTGTTAATAAGGTTGGACAAGTCCTGAATATTATCTAAATATAAAGCTTTGCAACCTATCGGGCTTACACGAAATAAATTGGCTTGCTTCGCGCCTGGAGACGTAAGGTGCCGGAGACAGCTTCTTGCCACAGCGCGTCCGTGGAAGCCATTTTGTAAGTATTACCTGCCTGAATAAGGGGTCTACCATATATTTTAGATTTTGGCCTAAATACTACAAAGTGCGATCCGCGGCTTACTCCATTCGTGACATGATATCGTAGCGCATGCTGTGATCACCACATTTGTTTATGTTCCCTGAGCCCGGATGGCGAGGGGAACATAAAGAAACATCGAGGGTACATCAACCCATGGGCCCCTAGGTACCAGTGAACAACGTGTTTATCTTACCGAACAACTCAATGGTTATTTTGAACTGTTAGAAGCACGGGTATCGGATCATAGTATGAAGTTTCAGACAAGAAAAAACAAATTTATAGTTATCTCCCTTTGATCGATTTGCATTCGCAAAACATCGGTAATTTCCGTACAATATTCATACGTGATTCAATGCTATTCGAGAGAAAGAATTACTACTACGAAGTACCCGATGATTTGGCATTCCCAGCAGGTTACATAGAAAATGTTACTCCCTTGTAAGCGGGGTACATTTATGTGTGGATGCAAGATATATATAGTTTTTAGAACCACAGAGAACTTGGAATTTATCGCTTTTCTATAGCCAAATATCACGTTATATTTTCTGCGTTACAATGAGTTGTATCACGTCATAATAGTTATTCGTGGTGAAGAACGAAACATTGCAAGGCTTGCTCAGGTTTTTGTTGCTTCAACCTTGTAGCTTAGATGCACACGTTTTATGCCTGTCATACTTGCAAGTGAGGTTTTACGATGTGAACAAAACATGTTTGTGCAAAGAAGCTTTGTTTTAGGGATACAGAGTTCGCAACTTTGACATGGTAGAATGGATATAAACACAGTGTGGTTGATCCTTATAGATGAGTGAGAATTAAACTATTCATAACAATGCCCTGTACCTTAGTTCCACATACAGACATTTTATTGTATTGATTCTGTTTTGCAAGGGACTGTCTCCGATACAGCTGTATGGATGTGATACAAGCTGATCTAAACAGAATAAGGGACGAGTGGAATACACATTTGCCGAGACGTGTAACCAGTCAGCTGAATGGAAGGCCAGATTTGATGTACAGTATACCAAAAATGTTTGGTACGTTTGTGGAGAGGTTGGGGCGATACTGTGGGCTGAAGGTCACAACACACATCAACTTGTAAACTTAAATGTTGTACTTGTAATGCAGGGTGTACATCAACTATTTAAACAGTGTTTTTATATCCATTTTTAAGGCTATCGGGAAACATGATTAATATGATGCAACATTTTTATTGTGCATTTCGACAAGTCGCTAAACTCTGTTAGCGAGATGTGAGATTACGAAAGTGAGGAAGTGTTTACCATAATAGTCATCAGCGATGTGTTTTTTATCCTGCTAGCAGTCGTATAATCGGGTTTTTTTCTGTTTCGGTACTAGTGCTGGCATTATTTTCGTTGCGCAGTAACATATATATTCCACTATAATGGCATGTGTGAAACAACATTACCATATATTTACATTGAGCACGTGTTCTTCATGATATTGGTTCAGGATCAAATTAATGACCAAAGCATCTTTAGAAGAAACTTCTTCAGTATAAAGTGTTTCGATTCTTTTTTAAAGAAAATAAAAACAGAACACTATATCCATATAAATGTAATGGTAGAGTTATTTTTTAGTAGAAATCAGGCTTGTTTTAGGGAAGGGACAGGTTAGGCAGAAGGTGGGCTAAAAATAACACACTAGGCTTAGCCTTCAGTGGGCTGGTCCATTTAGCTCTTGAGGGGTGAGGACCCGCTAGGCAAGTGCCTAGTATGCTTCTTCCCCATTATGCAATGGGATGTGCCAGTGCATGTGCATCTCATGAGCAGAGGGATCAGTCCACTGAACTTTTCTTTTGTCGGCATTTATTGGGTAATTTTAAGAGCATGGTTTTTATTGGGTAAGAGTTATAGGTTAAGGATATAAGAGGGCAGATTATTTTTTTCTCTGCACTCTGGGGTCTTACAGAGACAAGAAAGGTGAGGAATTCACTATTGTTTCTGTAGACTGGGCAAACAGAGTTTTAAGTTTCTTAAGTTTTGGTTAGATAATGTTAGGTAGTTAATTTTTGTTGTATTTTTACAGGGAACATTATTTAGGGGAATCAAGTTGGGATAAGGGGCAATAGTATAGGTATATTTTATAGGGTTTTCATTTTTCACAGGATCCTTGTAGGCATTATTATCTTTGTTGTTTAATTAACTTATTTTATTGTTGATTTTATGATATATATTAGTTAAGTATAAAATAAATTTATTTGATTTAAAAAATCTTGTGTTTGGTTATCATTATGACTTTAAACCCCTGAATCCTGCGGACCTGAGGACCGGAAACAGCATCCTCCTGTTACAGATTTTTGTGGTGAATGAAGAAGAGACTTTGAAAAAAAAAAAGAAAAGAAGAAAGCAAAACCAATTATCAATTCCGTTGCTTTTGTTTTTGTTCTGTTGGTTGTTGTGTATTTTTTTTGTATTTTTGGTGTTTTTTTCAAAGATCTTAAGAAGGGGGAATGTAATGGTAGAGTTATTTTTAGTAGAAATCAGGCTTGTTTTAGGGAAGGGACAGGTTAGGCAGAAGGTGGGCTAAAAATAACACACTAGGCTTAGCCTTCAGTGGGCTGGTCCATTTAGCTCTTGAGGGTGTGAGGACTCGCTAGGCAAGTGCCTAGTATGCTTCTTCCCATTATGCAATGGGATGTGCCAGTGCATGTGCATCTCATGAGCAGAGGGATCAGTCCACTGAACTTTTCTTTGTAGGCATTTATTGGGTAATTTTAAGAGCATGGTTTTATTGGGTAAGAGTTATAGGTTAAGGATATAAGAGGGCAGATTATTTTTTTTCTCTGCACTCTGGGGTCTTACAGAGACAAGAAAGGTGAGGAATTCACTATTGTTTCTGTAGACTGGGCAAACAGAGTTTTAAGTTTCTTAAGTTTTGGTTAGATAATGTTAGGTAGTTAATTTTTGTTGTATTTTTACAGGAACATTATTTAGGGGAATCAAGTTGGGATAAGGGGCAATAGTATAGGTATATTTTATAGGGTTTTCATTTTTCACAGGATCCTTGTAGGCATTATTATCTTTGTTGTTTAATTAACTTATTTTATTGTTGATTTTATGATATATATTAGTTAAGTATAAAATAAATTTATTTGATTTAAAAAATCTTGTGTTTGGTTATCATTATGACTTTAAACCCCTGAATCCTGCGGACCTGAGGACCGGAAACAGCATCCTCCTGTTACAGATTTTTGTGGTGAATGAAGAAGAGACTTTGAAAAAAAAAAAGAAAAGAAGAAAGCAAAACCAATTATCAATTCCGTTGCTTTTGTTTTTGTTCTGTTGGTTGTTGTGTATTTTTTTTGTATTTTTGGTGTTTTTTTCAAAGATCTTAAGAAGGGGGGAATGTAATGGTAGAGTTATTTTTTAGTAGAAATCAGGCTTGTTTTAGGGAGGGGACAGGTTAGGCAGAAGGTGGGCTAAAAATAACACACTAGGCTTAGCCTTCAGTGGGCTGGTCCATTTAGCTCTTGAGGGGTGAGGACTCGCTAGGCAAGTGCCTAGTATGCTTCTTCCCCATTATGCAATGGGATGTGCCAGTGCATGTGCATCTCATGAGCAGAGGGATCAGTCCACTGAACTTTTCTTTTGTAGGCATTTATTGGGTAATTTTAAGAGCATGGTTTTATTGGGTAAGAGTTATAGGTTAGGGGTATAAGAGGGCAGATTATTTTTTTCTCTGCACTCTGGGGTCTTACAGAGACAAGAAAGGTGAGGAATTCACTATTGTTTCTGTAGACTGGGCAAACAGAGTTTTAAGTTTCTTAAGTTTTGGTTAGATAATGTTAGGTAGTTAATTTTTGTTGTATTTTTACAGGGAACATTATTTAGGGGAATTAAGTTGGGATAAGGGGCAATAGTATAGGTATATTTTATAGGGTTTTCATTTTTCACAGGATCCTTGTAGGCATTATTATCTTTGTTGTTTAATTAACTTATTTTATTGTTGATTTTATGATATATATTAGTTAAGTATAAAATAAATTTATTTGATTTAAAAAATCATGTGTTTGGTTATCATTATGACTTTAAACCCCTGAATCCTGCGGACCTGAGGACCGGAAACAGCATCCTCCTGTTACATAAATAAGAACACAGTTTTATTTGAATGTATACCCGTCATACCTATCTTCCATTCATCGTAGGCACCCGTGATTACAAGTTCCCTGTGTCCCATGTGGACGTAGCCGACATGTGGCAGTGCTGCACACGACCTCTATCCAAAGGTGTATCCAATGAGTCCAAGACTCTGTGCGACGAAATTGTCAGCACCTATGCGCTGAGTCCGCCTTCGAACAGCCAAGAATGTTTAGACTTGTTTCACAATCTGACTGCCACATTACCCCAGTAAACACTTCTGTTAATTGCCATCAGGACTTACATATGTGTGGAGTTATGCAGAAGTTTGTGGAATCCAAAATGAAAGAAATATAACTCTGTACTTACACAATTAATGGACGTTCTATCTTTGATACTGTGAAATGGTCATCATAATACGACAAATTACTGGCCCCTACAAAGTCGAAGGAACAAATTAACTGACTGTTACAGTAAGTCCAACGTGATGAGATATTTTCTCACAAATATGTATGTCTGTATGCAAGACTATCACAGTTTTCAAGTGTTATGGAAACGAAATACGGACTCACATACAGCCGGAGAGACAAATAGACCAGATGCTGACTACATCCCATTGCAGTATAAAAATATGCGGCTTCATGTTAATCACAATTCATGACGATCATGAAAGAAATAAAAAGTTGGCTCCACCAAGCTGGTCACTTTGGTGTTTGTTAGTTTTGGTAATGATGACTAAACGCTAAATATGGTATTACAGAAAAGCCAACAATGTCACAATACATGTTTGTGATTCAACAACGAAAATGTCAATAAATACAGAAACGTACTAAAAAAAGCTATGATTACACAATGCCACATAGAAAGTGGCCAAATGTAACCTATGTTATATTTGGGATGACACTTTCTCAGTAAAGTACAGATTCTAGTACTTTTGTTGGGTTGAGTTCCTCATATTCACGCACCCAATCGCCGCTTAACCCTCTCAACCTAACAAAAATATTTCAGCAAGAAAGTGTAATCCCAGATATAACATATATGTTTTTAAAATGTTGCTGCAGCTTTGAGAGTCGAATAATTTCTGCACATATACTGAAGCCAAAACTATGGGAGCGTATTAATGCCACACCCTATAAATATTTCCAACGGTGATAATACTTATAGCTACGTAGATATTACTTTCATCTACGTAGAATATTTATGTATGATGTTTAAAATATCACCCACTAGTGAATTATCCACTAACAATATAACAATGTAACAATATTTTCTCCAATTAATAATGACTTAATCAATAATCACGCTTTTTGTTACTTTCTACTTTGACATGTCTATTGATATAAATATTAGATAAAGCAAATTTGAATTTCAATGTGGCCAAGTTGCATATGAATCACACTCACCACATTCCCTTACAGCCGTTATAAAGAGAGGAGAGTACAAAATCTTCAAACTACAAACAACTATACGTTACTATTACAAAATATATATCACACATAACCTGATTTAAGTCGCAGAAAATTACTGGAATATATTCACTCTTGTACTTTTTCTATTCCGGAAATTAGATTTTTGATCTGATGATAGTGAGAGCCTGGGAGCCTGTGCTGTATAAAGACCCTCACTCCACACTCCTTTGAGGTAAATCGTCAATATGAAGGAGTGGGAATCCCTCAAACTTAATAAAATGTACGAAACCAATTCTATAAAGCACTGAGGGTACAATTCTATAGTTTTATATTAGCGCAGATTGTTTGAAAATTTGAATTAACCTCTGTACGTTGTAAATAATTGAAAAGGCAAAATGGGCAGAAATGACCAACATGCTTCCAAACATTTAATGAATTAACAGTAATTTAGTAGTCACCTTTATTTAAAATATAAATGTTGT